ACTCAGCAATAGTGTGGACTCAGCAATAGTGTGGACTCAGCAACAGTATGGACTCCTAAACAACAATGTGGACTCAGCAACAATGTGGACTCAGCAACAATGTGGACTCAGCAATAGTGTGGACTCAGCAACAGTATGGACTCCTAAACAACAATGTGGACTCAGCAACAATGTGGACTCAGCAACAATGTGGACTCAGCAACAATGTGGACTCAGCAATAGTGTGGACTCAGCAATAGTGTGGACTCAGCAACAATGTGGACTCAGCAATAGTGTGGACTCAGCAACAATGTTGACTCAGCAATAGTGTGGACTCAGCAACAGTGTGGACTCAGCAACAATGTGGACTCAGCAACAATGCGGACTCAGCAACAATGTGGACTCAGCAACAATGTGGACTCAGCAACAGTGTGGACTCAGCAACAATGTGGACTCAGCAACAGTGTGGACTCAGCAATAGTGTGGACTCAGCAACAATGTGGACTCCTAAGCAACAATGTGGACTGAGCAACAATGTTGACACAGCAACAATGTGGACTCAGCAACAATGTGGACTCAGCAACAATGTGGACTCAGCAACAGTGTGGACTCAGCAATAGTGTGGCCTCCACCTGCTCCCCACACACCCACCACCCCCTCGCTCGCTCGCACGCATGGAGTTTTGTTCTCAGATACTCCGGTTTTCTCCCACATGTGATAACCCAACACTCGTCGCTAAATTGGTTGAAAACATCTTAAAATAAACAACGAGAAAAATTCCGTCAATGTCGTAGCAGCAGGACCCTCCTGAGAAAGAGCCCCACAGCTCAGTGTGGCTCTCCGGGACAAATGAATAATTATTATTCTTTCCACTGTTGGTTACGTACGGTGCAGATGTTCAACATACCACTCATACATGGGAGCTATCGCCCGCGGCCGTGCCTTGGATTTTCCCTGCGTCACACCCGGTTTTCACCTTGGGATTTGAGCCGTGGCTTTGACTTCACGCTGTGAACTTTGACTTCACGGACCACGACCCCCCAAGTCCGCTCTGACCTTTCACTTCACGAACCACGACCCTAACCCGCTCTGACCTTTGACTTAATGAACCACGACCCTAACCCGCTCTGACCTTTGACTTCACGAACCACGACCCTAACCCGCTCTGACCTTTGACTTGACAAACCACGACCCTAACCCGCTCTGACCTTTGACTTCACGAACCACGACCCTAACCCGCTCTGACCTTTGACTTCACAAACCACGACCCTAACCCACTCTGACCTTTGACTTCCAGAACCACGACCCTAACCCGCTCTGACCTTTGACTTCACGAATCACGACCCTAACCCGCTCTGACCTTTGACTTCACGAACCACGACCCTAACCCGCTCTGACCTTTGACTTCACGAACCACGACCCTAACCCGCTATGATCTTTGATTTCACGAACCACGACCCTAACCCGCTCTGATCTTTGACTTCACGAACCACGACCCTAACCCGCTCTGACCTTTGACTTCACGAACCACGACCCTAACCCGCTCTGACCTTTGACTTCACGAACTACGACCCTAACCCGCTCTGACCTTTGACTTCACGAACCACGACCCTAACCCGCTCTGACCTTTGACTTCACGAACCACGACCCTAACCCGCTCTGATCTTTGACTTCACGAACCACGACCCCCCCTCCCCCCCCCCCCCCCCCCACCGAGTCCACTCTGATCTAAACTAAAATCAAATTATTTTCATTTCACCAGGTAAGGGCCACTGAGCTGCTACGTAGCTCTTCTTCAGAAGCGGCCTGGCCGCAAATGCTCGCTCGTTATCGTTTTGTGGAAATCTAACGCAAGACAAATACTCCAAATGCACTTTTCTAAACGTGAAGGGGGAAAACCGGACGACCCAGAGAAAAATTCACACGACCACAGTGCGAGAAAACAGGAACACTTCAAATATACAGGAGGCGTCAGGGTCGGGATAAAACCCACGACCTCCTGTATATCATGCGAGGTAGTTAACATCTCACCACCATGCACACTCCAAATATACAGGAGGCGTCAGGGTCTGGAAAAAAACCCACGACCTCCTGTATACCAGGCGAGGTAGTTAACATCTCATAGCCACCATGCACACTCCAAATATATAGGAGGCGTCAGGGTGGGGATAAAACCCACGACCTCCTGTATACCAGGTGAGGTAGTTAACATCTCGCTACCATGCACACTCCAAATATACAGCAGGCGTCAGGGTGGGGATAAAACTCACGACCTCCTGTATACCAGGCGAGGTAGTTAACATCTCATAGCCACCGCGGCGCACCCCAATCTTTGACTTTACGAAACAAGGGCCCAGAATGCCTCCCGTCATTCGTCGTCCGCTGCCCGTTGTTTATCCCCGACCGGGGCAGGCCTTGTCTGGAAGGGCGAGACGAGGAATCGTCTCGCGGCGTTCGTTCGATCACCTTCCCAGGCTAGGACTCGTTCACGTCACCGCATCGTGGGTTTGTCAAATCTTGGACCACATTTTTGTTCCGCTTAAAATGCTCATGACAATAATGTGAAACCGTGGTTAAGCCAATTGACGGACTGCACACACCAATTTAAATGTAATTACAAATCTCGAATAAATGTAACCAATTTGTATTTTTTTTTATTACATACCAGATCCTTCCACCCCCGCCATGGGGAACAGCCAACGGAAGCAGATATCGTAGAACTACTGCTGAGATCCCTACTTCTCCATGTGACCACACACACACACAGTAGAAGGCAGCGCTTCCCACTCACTCTGCCATATGAGAATAATGTTTGTCGCAAGACTATAAAACCGATATTTTAAATCTCGGATTTTGTTCATCACCTCTGTACACTTGAGAACCCGGTTCAATCCCAACTCAGTCTATGTGAGTCTATGCGTTTCTCTGTGAATCTATGTGTCTCTGTATGAATATATGGTCATCTATGTGAGTCAATGGTAACTGGGTTGAGACCATCAACTCACTACAAATGAGAACCAGGTTTAATCACGACTGAATCTATGAGAGTCTATGGATGTCTTACAAGATTGCATGGGTCTGTGTGAGTATGTGGGTCTTTATCTGAGTCTATTGGTCTGTCTGTATGTGTGTATATGGTCTCTGCGTGAGTGTCTTGGTCTCTATGTGATTCTATTAGCCTCTATGTGAGTCTATTGGTCTCTGTGTGTGTTTTTGTGTGTCTATGTGAGTCCATTGGCCTCTATGTTAGTTTATTGGCATCTATGTGAATATATTGGTCACTGTGTGTGTCTATGGGTCTCTATGTGAATCTTTTGGTCTCTCTGCGAGTCTATGGGTCTCTGCGTGAGTCTATTGACCTCTATGTGAGTCTATTGACCTCTATGTGAGTCTACTGACCTCTATGTGAGTCTATTGGCCTCTCTGTGAGTCTATGGGTGCCTGCGTGAATCTACCTTTATGTGAGTCTATTGACCTCTATGTGAGTCTATTGACCTCTACGTGAGTCTATTGGTCTTCATGCGAGTCACTGATGACCAGGCTGTGACCATCAATTCACTTAATGGACATCTGTGTGAAAAAAGAGCTAAGTATAGCTCATCGGATTCCTCCGTTACAGCTAAATATCCAGATTCTGAACCTGAACTTGGATTCGAACCCCTAAACCCCAGGCTCTCAGCGGTGCTGTCTCGGGTAGCTCTTGCCCTCTGAGCCACGCGGGCCTCCTCTAGCAGTCGGGCTCTGCTAATGTGATGTATAACTGCAACGGCGGAGAGAGTGCAAACGGTGTCCGTTGATTAGACGTGTAACCACGTATTGATTTACCGATTAAAATTGATTCCTGCGTTCATGATGCAAGCGTAGGAATTGTGCCACGTTACAAGAACCACGGCGCACACACAGAGTGCGCGTGCGTGTGTTTTATTATCCATAGTAATTCAATACGTGCGGCGCCGTTTGTTGATCCGCTGCTGGATGAAAGCCACAGAAAGGGCATACACTGCCGGTCGTGCGGGCGGGGGGGGGGGTGTTTGGTGATACATCGCCGCACTGTTCAGTGCAGGGGCAGGTTGGTGAACGGGGTGGGTCAGTGGGTGGGTCTGTGGGTGGGTGGGTCGGTGGGTGGGCTGGTGGATGGGTGGGTGGGTGGATCAGTGGGTGGATCGGTGGATCGGTGGGTGGGTTTGTGGATGGGTGGGTGGTTGGGTCGGTGGGTGGGTGGATCGGTGGGTGGATCGGTGGATTGGTGGGTGGGCGGGTCGCTGAGTGGGTGGATCGGTGGATGGATGGGTGGATTGGTGGGTCGGTGGGTGGGTAGATCAGTGTATGGGTGGGTGGATCGGTGGATTGATGGGTGGATGGGTGGATCGGTGGGTGGATCAGTGAGTGGATGGGTCGGTGGGTGGTGCAGATCTCACTCGCCACTTGATGGTAGACGCTGTGACCAGGAATCGAACTCAAGGTGGATTGCTGGGCTCAAAGCACACAGACAACCACGCGATAGCCCAAGGCCCCTTTACACCCCAGAATCTGCAAGAGGAAGATCTGGAAAACTTACCAAGAGGGGGGACGGGTCCTGAATAATCATGCCTTAAAAATAGAGATGGCCCCATTATTAATGATAAAACTTTCAATGCAATATCGCTGTTAAATATCAATTTAAAAAAAAAAAACACTATTTGGCGGAGGGTTTTTCAAAGTGGTCACCTCTAACCCCCACGCCTCGTGTGCTTTGCTCACAGGCCAGGTGCCGAGTCACCATGTGCCGTACAGGAGACAGCTGCCACTGGGGGTGCCCCAGGCTAGACCACACAGCAGCGATCATCGCCCCCTTACTGGCAGACTAACAGCGCCACTATTCGTTCAAGACATTTTGGCGTGGATAGCCAGAAAGCTCACCACACGCTTACCTTTATAATCCCCCCCACCACCCACCACACCGTACCTACCCCCCCCCCACCTCTCTCTCTCTCTGAGTAATTGACCGCCCTAACGAGCTCGTGACGTCGCTGCCGTTGCAGATCATTGCCTTCGACGAGCTCAAGAAAGATCTCCGCGCGTCCACGGATCCGGAGAGCAACCCCAATCAGGTGAGAGGGCCAAGGTTCGTGGCGCCTTCCACACGCGCCCGCGGGCGTCGTTGCTTCCGAGTGGACTGCCTTCTCGCGTCGGTGACGACGACGGCGTTCGTGCGGTGATCCACCAACCCTCGCTGCTGCCTCCGGAGCGCCGGCTCGCTTCAGGCCACGTGCAGCTGCGTAGCCACCGCTGCGGTCTGAGCCCGGTCACCGCACGGCACGCAACGGCAAAAAAATAACATGCGCCCGTCATGCTAAATTTGGCGATAATTCCAGCTCTGACAATTCTAACTGTGTAACGTTGCGTGTGCGAGACGGTCGATAAGGGTGCACAAATGGTGGCAGCTTGGGGGATAGTGCCTCATCCAGCAGTGGAGAAACCACGGCCGATGACGACGATTACGACGGTGACTGTTGCTGAAATTTTGGGAGACGAAATGTGTCCTTCATTTACACCCATTCCTCCTCCACCCCGTTCCGTGCGCTGTGCCTCTCCTCTCTCTGTAATCTCGCGGGGGTGGTGGGTGGGTGGGGTTGGGGTGGGGGGTGAATGAGCCATCGTCGACGCCGTCCCCGTTACCCTTTAGCTTCGTCCCCGTAGATTTAAGCCCCTGCTGGGAGATTACCGGCGGCAGCGGCGGCGGCCGTGGTGGTGGCGGTGCAGATCGCGCGCACTCATTCCGGCGGAGAGATAAGTTTCAAATTTTTCCGCCACGCCAAGTTGTCCCCGGTAGCAAGGGCAATGAAGGGGGAGGTGGTGGTGGTGGTTGGAGGGTTCTAAAATTCAACACGGCTGGCTGCGCTGAAGGCAAAGGCGGCATCCCTGCAATTGCCAGCCCACCCCTCCCGCCCCCCCCCCATTCGCGTAACTGCTGGTGGGGGAAAAAAAGCCCTTTTGTGGGCTCCCAGTTCACCGTTTGTCCCTGCAGGGTTCGTGTATGGGAACAAAACCGCTCTCCCTCATTCGCCTGCTCACCCGTGTCTGGCAATGAACGCAGGCGAGGCAATGTGTGGGACGCCGCTGCCTTCGCTATCCGCGTGCATCACCACCCCTACCCCCCACTCCTCCCCCCCCCCCCCCCGGTGCCAACCTAGACAACGAATTCCTTTTCGCTACCAGCCTGAAGCCACTCTCTCTCCTCTCTCCTATCTCTCTCCCTCCTAGTTTCGCTGTGTCTCCTCTCTCTCCTCTCCCCAAGTGCCACGCTCTCGCCAAATCCACGCACGCAAGGTTGGATGAATCCTCTCAACCAGACCATCTCAGCCAGGCCTCTTAACCAGACCTCTTAGCCAGGCCTCTCAGCCAGACCTCTTAGCCAGACCTCTTAACCAGACCTTTTAGCCAGACCTCTTAGCCAGGCCTCTGAGCCAGACCTCTTAGCCAGACCTCTTAGCCAGGCCTCTCAGCCAGACCTCTTAGCCAGACCTCTTAACCAGACCTTTTAGCCAGACCTCTTAGCCAGACCTCTTAGCCAGACCTCTTAGCCAGACCTCTTAGCCAGACCACTTAACCAGACCTCTTAGCCAGGCCTTTTAGCCAGACCTCTTAGCCAGACCTCTTAGCCAGACCTCTTAGCCAGACCTCTTAGCCAGACCTCTTAACCAGACCTCTTAACCAGACCTCTTAGCCAGGCCCACAGAAATTGCGTGCCGTGTTGGATGGTGGGGAGTGGAGGGAGCACGTAAATAATGGATGTGTCGTTCAATCAACCACCACCCAACACAACCAATTAGGTAAGGTTTGTCACGTAAACAACACATGCCAATTCGTTACTAGTTCAACAAACACTGGTTGTGTGTTGGAGAGTAAACCCCACCCACAACATTTACAATTCTAGTAAAGAGACTCCTCTGCTTATGAACGAGTTAGGTTCCAGAGGTCTGTTCCGAAGTAGATTTGTTCGTAAGTCCAACTTTACTCCTATCGATTGCAAACATGTTGTACATCACGTACACTATACATGGGGAGTAACTTTAAAAGTTGTACAATCTCCTGTAGATGTTGATGCCAGTGGTTCTTCACGTTCTGTAGATGTAGATGCCACTGGTTCTTCACGTTCTGCAGATGTAGATGCCACTGGTTCTTCACGTTGTGTAGATGTAGATGCCGCTGATTCTTCATGTTTTGCAGATGTAGATGCCACTGGTTCTTCACCTTCTGCAGATGTAAATGCCACTGGTTCTTCACGTTCTACAGATGTAGACACCACTGGTTCTTCATGTTCTGCAGATGTAGATCCCACTGGTCCTTCACGTTCTACAGATGTAGATGCCACTGGTCCTTCATGTTCTGCAGCTGTATATGCCACTGGTTCTTCACGTTCTACAGATGTAGATGCCACTGATTCTTAATGTTCTGCAGATGTAGATGCCACTGGTTCTTCATGTTCTGCAGATGTAGATGCCACTGGTTCTTCACGTTCTGCAGATGTAGATGCCACTGGTTCTTCATGTTCTGCAGATGTAGACGCCACTGGTTCTTCACGTTCTGTAGATGTAGATGCCACTGGTTCTTCACGTTCTGCAGATGTAGACGCCACTGGTTCTTCATGTTCTGCAGATGTAGATGCCACCACCGCCATTTATTGCGTGGCCGTTCGTATCTCTGAAAGATCGTGAGTCGAATGTTCGTGAGTAGAGGAGTCCCTGTACAGCGCGACCTTTTGCCGGTAATTACAACAGCCAGCCTCATCAGGCGACATCCAGAGTTGTTTTGGTTGTTTGTTTTGTGTGCGTGAAGATTCACATGATGCTCGGGGCGATCAGAGACGTTAGGCTATCGCAACGGGATCCACCGACTCTCTGAGTTGGCCCGTCGGCAAAACAATCTGTGCCTCTCCTCGATCAACTCAGCCTTAAATGGGTATCCTGCCTGGTGGCCGTGTGTGTAAGGAGGTGGGGGGGGGGGGGGGTTAGTGCGCTATGCAACGAACCCGGCGACCCGAGATCGATTCCCTCTCAACGCCAACATCAGTGGCGATCATCTCGCCACCTGTCCTTGGCTTCCCTAGGTCGACTCAGCCTTACTTGAGTTACCTGCTTTCCAGTATGTGAGCACCAGCCCCCTGTGGAGGCAAAGTCGGCCATAGCATGGTTCCTGGCCTTAATAGGTGTACCGTGTTGACCTTGATGGGTGCTCGCGAAAAGCGCCTGCCCTGACAGTCTGGTAAGGCTATGACGGTGGATTGGGTGTATGTGTGTTGAACGAACGTGTGTGTAATTTCACATTTGTACCGATTCGATAATAACGGCTGTTGTAGGGGGCCCTTAATGAGATTGCGCGTCAGTCTGAAGCTCTAATTGGGGCCAGAATTGAGTTAATGACTTGTGGAAGATATTTTTTTTTACACTCATTAATAATGCATCTCATTGATCTTAACTGAACCCCCACCTCACACCACCCACCACTGCATCTGGCAACGTGTGAGCTCAGCAAAGGATCCTAATGTGATAAACACAGAGAGTGATGTGGGAACAAAGCGCGTGTCGAGAAGTAACAACCCACACTCTGGCCTTAACGCAAAGCACAAAGGTCCACGCGGAGACAAAGGTTCCCCCGAAAAGCCTTAACATGCTCTTGTGGCAAGTGCTGTCAGTGAGCACCAATGAAGGCCAGAATGACGTAACGAGAGGGGCGTGGCGTGGCCAAGCACCACGTGCAAGCCCGCTTTAGTCTCCCTACTTGGAGATGTTTAAACACCGCGCCAGGCTGAGTTGAGGCTGAGTCGACCTAGCGGACGCTAGGTCGTGAGCGAGAATCGAACTCGGGTCCCCGGGTTCGTAGCATAGCGGGCTAACCGCTACACTACCGCTCTACCCCTTGGCACGAATCACAAATACAGTGACAAAGATCCCCCGCATAGCCTTAACAGACTGTTGGGGCAAGTGGTGTTAGCGAGCACCTATGAAGGCCAGCACGTCACATGAGGAGGAAGGTGGCCAGCACATGCGCTCGACCGCGCGAAGCAGACGCGCACACACGCACGCCACACAAGGTGCCCCCACTAATCACAGCTGCTTGAGCAACAGGCCCAAAGTAACGTCCAGCGGTCAGCAACAAACAGCACTATTGTAAATGTTGTGGATTTACTCTCCAACACACCGGTGCGCTATAATAGTGTAGTGCAGTAGCGCCACGCGGAGATGAGGAATTCTATAAGGGCTGCTGTCGTTTATTAAAACGCTGTTGCACTCGACATCCTACACTCACACCAGTGTAGGTGCACTCTATCTGGGTCCTTTACCCCGGACACTGAATACTATTTGGGTCCTAACCTCGGTTACCCTATTGCCTCTCCCACTCGTCTGCCCGGAACGGGGGTTCAGCCAACACCGCTCAGCGACGAGGAGAGAGACAGAACCTCTTCCAGCCGATCCTTACCCTGGTTCCCTACTGCGATCCCGCCTCCGTCACGGGGAACCCCCTTAAGAACCCTTTGGGCGGCTCCTCCCCCCAGCTCGGCTCCGCCCATGTTCCCGAAGGTGCTCTCCAAAGCCCGTTACATCCCCCGTGACGTCACGTCAAGGCTGTAATTACAATATATATTGGGGGGGACACAAACCCCCCAATATTCAAATATGCTCAAAATGTCCCCCCCCCCCCCCCCCACAAATATATTGCTATAAAATAGATTTCTGTTTATATGATTATGGTTATTGTTGTACTTTATAAATTCCTAATCTCTGCCATTACATACAATGAAACATGAAAAGATAAAACAAATTAAATGAACCAGAGCAATGTAATACAATGCATTATTAGACATTATTGTAAAAAATACGTAAAAAGTCAATCCTAAGTGCTTGTGAATTTTTTTAATATTTTAGGCAGGAAATTAGTTTTCAAATTTATTTATTTTTTCTGGGAGGAGACCCCCAGACCCCCTGGAAGAGATTTGGTCCCCCCCAATGTTACCTCCATGGCTACGGCTTTGCGCTACGTCATTCTTGACTGTCAACCCGCTGGCACCTCCCTCTCCTCGCCCCTTCATTGGTTACTCACAATACTCCCC